GTTGTGTGCCTGGCAGGTGGGGGGCCTCCTGCCCTGGCCCAGTGGGGCTGGGAGGTGGCAAAGGAGAGGGAAAGGCTGGTCTAGTGAGGTGGCGAGGAGCCCCTTTCAAAATCTGAAGTGCAAGATCCTTCAGTCCGAGGGCAGGAGTGCTGGCCTTGCGCCTGAGGTAGGACAGGAGGGGAGGGCAGGGCTCTGGCAGCAATGGTGATGGGCAGAGTGAGGACTACCCCAGGGTACTCCTGAGATTGAAGCTTGCTCCTTCCCTGTTGCTACCACTGTGCCACAGCCTTGGATGTAGAGGGACTGTGCTGTCCCAAGGGCAGAGCCCTGTGCCTGCCCCTGGCTGCTGCCCCCCAACCTCACCCCAGGACTTGGAGCCAGCACTGACCTGAGGAAGGGGGCCAGGATCATGCCACACTGCTCAGGGAAGGGGCACAAATCCACGCGGGGTGGGAGGGCCCTGCCATTCCCCCCCACATAGGGGATCCAATGCCCAGAGCACCCCCCAAAAAAAAACAGGGGAGGAAGATAGTGGGCTTCCCATTTCCCAAGCCTTCCTTTCCCCTTGCTTTGATGCTCCCAGATGGCAGTCCTCCCAGCTCAAGAGGCTTCTCAGTCCCTCTGCCTGCCCCTACTCCAGCTGTGGTCCCCCAGCTCCATGCAGTCATGCTAGCAGCCATGCTCAGTGCCATCCTTTGTCTCAAGGACCAGAAATCAAGCAGCTCTGCTCCGTGGCTGCTGCACAGCACATCCTCCTGCCCATACAAGGCAGCACTGCTCAGGCATCATCAGGGCACCATGTGGGGCTGAGCACCCAGCTTCTGCTCCAAGGCCAGCCGCAGACATCGCTCATAGAGGGTGCCACCACTGTCCTTTGTCTTCCAGTCTAGATGACCGGCATTGGCAGTCACATGCAGAGGACCCCAGCGCCTCAGGGTCTTTTTGAGGTGCTGTACAGGTACTAGCAGAGCCCGGGTTGCTGTAATACAGCTGCCGGAGAAGCAAAGCTGTGAGCATCACCGACATCCACTGCTTTCCACCCCAGGCCTGTTCATGGCACAGTAGAGCAGGGGATAACTCTTGAAATGCCCGCTTCATGCTAAGCCTGCAGGACAGCACCCAGCCCCAAGGGCATCCCTCCTGCCCGTGGAGGGTAGGAAGCCCCATGCAGGCTACATTCCATTGACTCTCCACACTTACTTGTGCTGTGGCCCCTCACCCGGGCTGCAGTCAGTGGGTGGCTCCAGAACAAAGCAGTCTGCGGCAACCCGATTGGCCAGGACAGCCACCTCTACATAGCTGAGGTCCCTTGCCCTGTGCAGGAACCGTGCCAGCCTGTGGGCACAGGAGGGCAGTGGTCAGCAGCTGCTAGCCAGGGTGGGCATCCCACTGGGTCCCACCTTATCTGACCCCTAATCTGTCTGCACAGCACCGTGTGATGGTGGGACAAACCCTGCCTTTTCCTCCCAGACATACCTGCGAGTGCAGTTGCAGTGGAAGAGTGTCCGGGTGTCCACATTGTGCAGCTGGTACTTCACCTCACCGGGTGCGATCTGGTGCTCGCACTTATCCAGGTGCTTGTAGCACCTGCACACCCTGCCCAGGCCTGAGGACAGCAGGCAGTGAGGGGCACGCCCGGCACACAACCTCGATGGGCTGAGGCCTCAGGACACCCCAGCTGTGGCACATGCTCTGCTGCCTGCACCGACTCACCCCGCTGCCTGGGCCCTGCTGGGGCAGGCACTGGGGTGGCTCTGCACCGCTCCACAGCCGGGCTGGATCTGATGCCACCATCTTCGGGGTGGGCCTTGCAGGCAGGGTGTGCTGAGCCCCCAGCCCCTTGCTGTGCTCCTCCTGGTGCTCGCCTGCCTCCAGCAAGGTCCTGTTCCAACACGGTCATTGCTGTTGGGGGGCTGGGCTCCAGCCCCCATGGCGCTGCTAGGTGCTTGGTTGCGGGCTCCACCTTGTCCCTTGCGGATGCAGGGGACAAGGTACCTGGGCCCCGCAGCCGCTGGGCTGTCGCAGGTCTCTGTGCCTGGCGGAGCCCGGGGTTCTGCTGCAGTCCCTGATGGAGCCTCTTGTGCCCTGCTCTAGAGGGCTTCCTTTTCTTGCTCAGGGGCTGCACAGCAGGGCTGCCCACCTCCTCTGCGGGCGGGCTGTAGTGGTACTGCCTCTGCTGCACCATCCTGGCCAGGGGTACTACACCATAACGCTCACACCTGGGGACACCACATGCCAAGAGGCCTCGCACACCAGCCCT